AGTATGCTCTTATTAAAGTTACTCCCTCCGTCCCGCAAAATAGTTCTCAGATTCTTTTTTGAGCAGTCCCAAAAAATAGTTCTCATTTTCCTTTTTGGAAGTTTTTTGTGGCTATCATTCATTTAACTTTTTCTTACACAACCACAACCATATATTTCCACTTTATTCCCACTTTCTTAAACTCCGATCCAAGTCAATGCGAGAACTATTTTATGGGACGGAGGGAGTATTATACACGCCATTTCCATATATGTCCAATATATTTCCCTCATAAAAGACATTTTGTACAAATAGCTTTTTTGCTTATTTAGGATGTTTTTACTTGGATTGTTTTCAGTCCCATACCAGATCAAACCAGATCAGTTCGGACCAAATCAGATCATACCAGATTTGGATAATTATAGAAATAAAAAAGACCAAACATTACCATATCAGACCAGACCAATTCAAACCAGACCAAATCAGACTAGCAAATTACGGTCCAAGTAAAAAGATGCTTAATTAATGAGAGAATGGTCGATTCAGTACATGAATTAGTGCCCGGTGGAGTAAAGAGTACACCATTTTGAAAATCAGTTTAAATGGTACACCATTTGGCCGTTTTAGCGTGGAAGTAGTACTTAGGGTACCGGCCCGTTAAAAACCGCGAATGTGGCAATTATTCTCGATTTCGTTCGTACGCGGTGGACGCCCAGTCAGCTTCTCCCAACCTCCCTAATAAATGTCAAACCCTAATTTAAAGATTCAGTCTTCTTCTTCGATTATCAGAAGTTTCTTGCGCATCAAAGGGAAGCAAGCGTCTGTGGAGCTGTGGCCGTTCTTGGGTGAGTTGCTTAATCCTCCATATTTCTTATGTTGTGATGAAGATGGGTTACGTGGGACATAGTTGTACTAGTTTCGTTTTTTAATGGAATTGGACAGAACATTTACGGACATGGATTATGGAAAGTGTGAGTGTGGAATGCCTGTGAAGCTGATGACGTCCTGGACAGATGACAATCCAGGGAGACTATTCATTGCCTGCTCAAGAGTAAGGGGTTTTTCTAATTAATTGTGGTTTGATGTAATTTAATTTGGTGTTGTTTTCACAAGATTGCTGATATAAAGAAATGACATACTGTTATTGCAAAAAATAGGCTATATGTGGTTCATGCAACCTGTTTGAATGGATTGATTCTGAAATGTGTGCAAGGTCAAAGATGATAATACCCGGTCTGTTCAGGAAAATCAACAAATTGCAGCATGCAGTTGATGAGGCAAGGGTTGTGAAGAGAAGACAGAAGATGAGGACCACCTTCTTGTGTATACTAGGAGTAATTATCCTAGGCCTCCTGATGGTAGTCTGTTTTGGGAATGAGAAGAAAAATTCATGTGAGGCTTAAAATATCAATTATGGTATTATGTAATGTGTGTCATCAGTTATGGAGAAGTGTAGCGTGTAATGTGAACACTTAGTTATGTAGTGTGTGATCTGAGTTATGTAGAAGTGTTTACTTTGGTTTTTCCATGTATGTACCAAGAATGGAACCTATATAATCCATAAATTGTGATATGTTTTTCTTATGTTTTGTACTCTGTTTTTCCTATGTGTGTTTACTCTCAACACTTGGTAAAAGAAAGAGATTTTATATGTGCTGAAGATTAACAAGGAACACATTAGTTTTAGGGATAAACATGAGGCAGGTATACATTAAACCCAAGCATTAATTAAACTCAACACAGGAGGCAGGTATACATTAAGTAAGCAGCTTAGAAGTCAAAAAACAGCCTGCTAATGTCAACCCTCCTAAGCAAAACAAGGATTTCTAACCAATCCGTCCATGAATTCTGAGAGTACAAGCTAGCATAATTGCAGATTTGTACTCCCACAATACAGTTAGGGTACACAACCCTCATAATGTCATAACCACCATTTCCAACAGACTAATTACAAGCAAAAAGGAAGTTTTGTTAACAACATACAAGCAAAACATCATTCTAAGATTTGCCAGAAAAACACTAATCTTCACATTCATCTTCCATAGAGTCAAACAAGGTATGAAATCTGTCCCTTGCAGTAGTTGACACCCCAATAAGTTCCATTTCTTCAGAATTTCTTTTTCTTGCTTTACTAGCCCTTCCCCTTATCTCCTTGCCCTTTGTTTGCCTCAACCTCTGTATGAACAAAGTGAGTTCATAAGTTTATAGGGACAAACTGAAATATAAGTTTATTATAGTGTATATATGGACAAAAAGATTTTCTAAGTATACCTCCAAACCACCAGAACTGATTGCATTTTCCCCCTAAACTGAAACACATTGTCCCTATTTCTCTCTTCCATATATGTGTTATCAGTGAAGTAAGTCTGCAATCTACTAGCTTCCACATTGTTCTCATTTGGAGCACCAAAGTCAGAGTTATTTTCCTATCAACAAAACATATATAGTGTGTACTTTAGATTCAAATTTATAGAACTTCATAAAAGTAATACCCACAATACATTAAATGTTTTATCACAATTACCTGATCACCATTATGGGTTGCTTCTTGAGATACTGTTTGGGGTTGTTCAGAACTACCACTTTGTAAATCAGAAGGGAATGTTGTGCTGCCTTTAAAAATTTGATCTTTTGCAGGACAACCTTTCTTGTTATGACCTTTTTTGAAGCACAATTGACATGTAATGGTAGTTCCTTTCTTGGTTAACTTGCCAGTCATACGAATCTCTCCGATTTCCCTAATTCTATTCTTCCTAGGCCTAACCAATTTTTTCTTCTACAACTCAGCTGGGAAGACTAACATTTGTTTTAGGCCAAAATAAAGGTCCAACAATAGAAGTCATCATTTCAGAATATGTATGGCAAATTGGCAATACATTTCCTTTTTATACCAAAGGGAAACATAATCCTCAATTCTCTGTCCCTTATCTCTTATGCCACAAATGACATGTTTGCATGGAATCCCGGAAACATCCCACTGCTCACATAAACAATTCCTATTCGCTAAATCTACCAAATAAGTGTCTGAGCCACAAGAAATCTCATACCCATCAGAACCATGTGAAAGAACCCTCCAATAATTACTTGCCAATACATTTTTGTTTATCCTCCTCCTAATCTTGGGACCTAAGCCACCTATCCACTTCTCACCCATGTTCCTATTCTTTAATAGCCTCTGCATCACCAATTTTCTTATGTATTCCAATTGAGAAAACCCAAACACGGATCTAGCAGGTACAATAACACCATTAAAAGCCTCACACAGATTGTTATCCACCGTTTCACACTTGATTTTCCTATTGAAAAAGGCTCTACACCAGAACTTGAGATCTATCTTGACCATATCATCATGAGCACTTGGAGAAAGAGTTTTAAGTACCTCTAGATTGAGTTCAAATTCCCTCTTTGAGACTGATTTGCAGCACTTCCAGATTTGCCTTTGCAACTCCAAACCACCATGACTTCTTCTCCAAATTGCATAAATGTGCCTGACACATCTTCTGTGTTCAACATCAGGTAAGGTCTCATATAAATTTGGCATTAACCCCTGAACATATGAAAGTGTGAGTCATTATGCATTGTAGGATACTATATACTATAATATAATGCTGGGATATATAATAGTATATGTAATATAATGTCAGACTATGAAGATATGAATCCAAATGTAGCAGAAAAGAAACTGAGTGTGACCTTTTGTTGATCAGAAACAAAAGCCCAGTGTTTCCCCCTTCCAATATTCAAGTCTTCTCTGAGGTTCTCTATAAACCACTTCCAGGTGGCTTTGGTCTCAGAAGGTACAACTGCCCATGCTATTGGGAATATTTAGTTGTTTGCATCTCTTCCTAGAGCTGTTAGAATTTCACCTTTCACCTCAGTTTTCATAAATGCCCCATCTATACCTATCAGTCTTCTACACCCTTCAAGGAATCCTTTTTTACATGCATGAAAGCACACATAAAATCTATCAAATACTGAGGTAGGCTGCCTTAGATTTAGAATGGAAGTATTACCCTGATTGGACCTAAGTATTTCTTCCTTATAATCCTGTACTCTTTCTCTATATCTCCCTTTTGAAGCTTCCTAAGCATTGTCTTAGCCTTTCTCATTTGTTCAAGAGTTACATCACAGTTCAATTCTTTCTTCACCATTTCCCCCATGGAAGTCACCTTCATATCAACCACTCCAGCCTTAGACTTGAAAAAATTCTTCACTAAACAAGAAGCATTTGCACTAGGTATTTTCCAACCCGGATTGCATGTATGCTCACTATGATATGTCTTCACAACCCACTTTTTACTACTGCTTCTATTGTCTATGCCAATGTACACCATCCAAGTGCAGCCTTTGTTTAGATTGGAACATTTGGCCCTGAGCATGTCAGCACAATTTTTAGCCCAATAGTATGGATACCTATTACTGATAGATACTTGTCCATGGCATCTTTGGCTTCTTGTTTTGACTCAAAACTCATACCCAATCTGAACTCCACCTTGTCAGTTGGTTTGAAACTAGGAAATCTTGACTTTGTTCCCAAATTTCCCTCTTCTTCTGCATCTGACCCAGATTTGTAACTTCCCTCATCAGATGAAGTGAAATAATCAGTGTCATTTTCATCACCATCCTCATTTGTCCCTTCTTCATTTACCTTTTCATTTCCTCTACAAACACTTTTATTTTGTGACAAGTTTTTAGCAGCAATCGCCCATGGATCAATTCCTCATCATCTTCATTTTCTGAATTGAAGTCCTCTTCGAAAAGCAGACCAGCTTCTGCCTCTACACCCGCATCTTCAAATCCAATATGCACCCCACTGCCAGAGCCTTTGTTGGTAGTTGAACTACACATACAGTAATAAGTACCAAATTCAATAACAAAGAAAAATATTTTAATAAATTCAATAAACATTATATCTTCACTAACTAAATATGTCAAAAACGTAATACAATACTAACAGCTCGTACTCTTACATCCAATGATATACATTACACATAGGCGAGCAACGTATTCATACATTTTATTCGTGTTTTTCATGACTAATGCTTCAATTCCTCCTTCCCCTTACCTCTCTTAGCTTAGGAATCCATGCTCAGCGCTTTTTTTCCAACTCAGTATTCCTTTTGCCACATCACCAAAAACGGGCACTTAGTGAATCGACCCTTTTCTGCTTAACTAATTTGAGACTTTGAGCAGGTTCACCCGGCCTGGCGAAAGGAGTTCTCACGCTTCATAGTATCAGTTTGGGGAGGGGAGATCGTTAGCCTGCTCCGGAGCCGTATTCTTCTCTACCATTAAGCAACAAGTTTTGTTTTTTACTCCTCAGTTTATATTTTTCTTTTTTTTTCAACCCTTCCAGGCCCAATTAATGTTCATGTTCACTGCAGGGTTTTGTTTGTAATGACTCGAACCGTGGGAAAATGGATTAAGGTTTGCTCATACTTATAGCGCGTTTGGTAATAATTATTTGGTTGAAAGACTTGAAACAGCTGAATGTGCTTATTTTTTATGAAGGGTAAATCATTTAGTAAAATCCAATTCAGCCAAATAAATCAAAGCTAAGGCTTATTCAGCAGAATGAGCCGAAACAGCCTACCAAAGGGGATGTTAATAACTCTACCATTTAGTTGCTTGTATTGTGAATTAACTTTAAATCCCTTTGAATTTGTAGTGAAAGATTATGTATTTTCTTCTTTGTGGAAGTGGAAATGTGTTATGATATTCTTGCATTGCCTTGATTGTTTGAATCCTTGCGTATCAAATCTTAAAACAGCTCTGTTTAAAAATTGGTTATCATTGATAATCCATCATATGTGGCTTCAAGAGAAGGTCTGAAAAGACAGAAATCTGAAAGCAATACGTTTCTCGCTCCCTTGATACAATTTTTGATACTACTGAAGTGCTCTGAGTTGGATGTTTAAAATCCACTAATTAATCAGAACAATAAAGATAGATTCACATGTTTTAGATACATTCTTATGTAACAAGCACTGATTAGATGATGACAAGTTGTTCTACTTTTCATTACCCAATACGTTTGTGCCACATCAGAATGTAGCTAAAGAATGTTTCAAAAAAAAATGTGTACCCATCCTTACTTCAGAAACAACGCAAATGAGGGTAATCCCAGATCACTATAAGGAGTATAAGCTCTTATGATCTGACTACAGAATCCCTAAAACATTGGTTGCAACTTGCAACTTCCGCACTAGATATGCATGAATACATTATGCGTATCATCCTGAGTAATATCTGCTGCCTAGTAACATTCTTTGAATACTTGATTGGCATGGGTTCACTACACACCTGATTGACCTAGAGTTTGTTTGGTTCAGGGATTTCGGAGAGGATGAATGGGGTGGGGTAGTTTTTGTTATTAAATTATTCTTTCTAAGGTCAGATGGTTGGTATTTTGGCACTAAAGTGAAGCTAAAAAAGCTATATAGAAATACAGGATCTAGCTAATCATGTAGTTATTCAGTAGTCTTAATCTAAGAAAGAGATACTGTTAGGAATCTGCCTATTGAGTATTTCAATAGGGTATTTGAAAGGAGAAATAAAAGGGGCTGAGGTCATTTAAGTGGGCTGGGGTCATTTAATGAGCCTGTTTATCTATTTGAGTCCTGGCGTGGACCTACTACTATAAATAATAAGTTGGGTAGCTAATAATAGGTAGACTGTTATTTTGAGAATTGTTGCCTTGTTGCCTAAGTCCCGGTTGCCTAAGAAGTCTCTGTCCCTGTCCCGGAGTTTCCTACGGATTACCCTATCAATAAACTGCAGTTTCTCTACTTTCAGATTAGACCTGTGTTGCTTGTTACTGTTTGTGCTCAGATTATTACCAGGTTCCTATCAATGGTATCAGAGCAATCGCTCCTGGGGATCACAAGTGAAGTGCGACGGCAGTAGCGTTTCTCATTTCAGCATCGTTGTGAGGAAGCGACTGCAACCTAGTTTTTTTTTTTTTCTCTGAAGTGGATGGTAAAAACGAGATCCAGAATGGAACAACGCATGGAAGCCTTTGAGCGGGAGATGAGAGCTACCATCGCGAATCTCACTGTTGCGATGAATGAGCAAATCCAGAACAGCATCGCTACATCCATGGCAGCTTATCAGAACAGGAGGGATCCGTCTAGAGGGAGATCGCGATCACCGCATCACCGTTCCCCTCATCACCGTCGATCACGATCACCACATCACCACCTATCGCGATCACCGCACAGCCCAGAGTACTCGAGAGGTAATTCTGTACACTCTCCCATCCCTACTCGCAGAGTCCATACTGGTCGGAAGGTGGATCTGCCATTGTTTAATGGAGTAGGTGCCTATAACTGGTTAGTAAGAATGGAGCGCTACTTTAGATTGAATAAAACAGAGGAGGAAGACAAGGTTGAGGTTTCAATGGTGGCTATGGATGATAGGGCCTTGAATTGGTTTCAGTGGTGGGAACAACAGGCCGAGGAGATAACCTGGGAAAATCTGAAGGATGCGGTTATCCGTAGGTTCCAACCCGACTTATTGCAGAATCCCTATGGAGCCATGTTGAGCCTGAAACAGACTGGAACTGTGGAGGATTATCGGGATGAGTTTGAGAAGGTAATAGCTACACAGAAGAACATAGACAGGGGTATGCTGAGAGGCATTTTTATCAATGGCCTCAAGGATGAAATCAAGGCTGAACTGAAACTCTTCAATGGCAAATCTCTAGCTGCTACCATGGACAGGGCCCAAGCGATTGAGAAGAAAAATGATGTTATTTACACTAAGGGTAAAACTACAGAGAAACTGGAAGGAAGGGACAAGGGATCCATGAACTATAGACAACCTGTTTGGGGTGAGGGATACAAGCCAAAAGCTGGAAGTTCAGGATCCCAGACTGGTGGTATAAAGAATTCAGGACAGCAAGGCACTCAACCTTGGTTTACTCCCGATGGGAAGAGGGAAACTGAAATAAATTTCCCAGACATAAGAAGAGTAGGGCCACAGCTGACACAAGAAGAATACCAAGATAGAAGCCGGAAGGGACTTTGCTTCAAATGTGGTGAAAGATGGGGAAGAGGGCACTCTTGCAAAATGAAGAATTACAAACTGATTTTAGTGGAGGATTCCGATGGAGAAGAGGAAATAGTTAACCCAGAAGGGGTAATCCCCGAAGAAGAAAAGATCACCATGGAATTTAAGTCCATGCAATTGTCCTTCATGAACCAGGACGGAAAACCCTCTACGAGGGCTTTTAGGGTTCAGGGGATTCTGAAATGGGCTAAGGGAGAGAAGCTAGTGGATGTTCTAATTGATAGTGGGGCCTCACACAACTTCATATCCCAGAAAGTGGTAGAGCAGTTAACCCTCCCTTATCAGACCGTTGCTGGCTACCAAGTGCAGCTTGGGAATGGTGATAGGGTCTTCAACAAGGGCAGGTGTGAAAAACTCATTCTGAGCTTGCGGGGAGCTGTCATTCAACAAGATTTCTACATGCTGGAGTTGGAGGGAGCTGACTTGGTTCTTGGCATGGATTGGTTGACTGGATTAGGGGATGTGGAGATTAACTTTCAGAAGCAGAGCATAAAGTGGCATCATCTGGGGATAAGTCAGTCAATTCAAGGGGATCCTAAGTCAAACTCTATGGAGGTATCTCTGAAGACCACGTCACAAACTGTACAGGAGAATGGTGTGGGCTATCTTATCTACTGGGAAGGCAGAAAATGGGATGGAGAGGGAATTCAGCTGAAGGATTCCAAGTTGGAAGGAATTGAGGGGAAGAGGAAAATTGATTACACAGTTGAAGTTGATATGGGAGTTCGTATAAGGGTTCAAACTGGTTTGTTCCTGGATCCATTTAGAGCTGCAACGCCTCATAGCAGGACTGCCTTAGAACCCTTACATGAAGAGGTTGGTTACAAGGAGGAGGCTTCAAGTGTAATTCCAGGGAATTTTTATACCCAGTTTCTGCCCCTGTTGGCTGTGGAAAATGTGATGATGAAAGTGAAAGAAATGAAGCTCCCAGAGCAGAAAACCAAGAGGTACTGGGAAGGAAGAGGTTCCAGGATGAAGAGGAAGTTCAAGATCAAGGCTGTGTCTTATTACCCACCTTGAGGGCAAAGTGGTTAATTAGGGGGGGAGTAATGTTAGGAATCTGCCTATTGAGTATTTCAATAGGGTATTTGAAAGGAGAAATAAAAGGGGCTGGGGTCATTTAAGTGGGCTGGGGTCATTTAATGAGCCTGTTTATCTATTTGAGTCCTGGCGTGGACCTACTACTATAAATAATAAGTTGGGTAGCTAATAATAGGTAGACTGTTATTTTGAGAATTGTTGCCTTGTTGCCTAAGTCCCGGTTGCCTAAGAAGTCTCTGTCCCTGTCCCGGAGTTTCCTACGGATTACCCTATCAATAAACTGCAGTTTCTCTACTTTCAGATTAGACCTGTGTTGCTTGTTACTGTTTGTGCTCAGATTATTACCAGGTTCCTATCAGATACAAATTAGTACAGAAAATATCCATTCTCTCTTTCTATGCCCTCTGAAACCCCTAAACCGAACAAGCCTGTAGAGTTCATGCCTGCCTATTAAATGAAGAAATGTGAGTGTAGCCATACTTCGTGAACCACTTGAGAAAAATGGATGGACAATGTCACGGTTTTGAAGTTAAATTTAGAGATGAAACTGACTGCATTGGTTATTTTTTTGCTTGTTAAGTTCAAATTCACTTCAGTATTTCTATTTGTAGTCAGAAGAAACCCATTTATTGCTATTTTTTCCCAATTTCGTTACGACTTATTAACAATTTTCATATTGTGGGGGAGGTAGGCTAGTGAAGGATAGGTACAAAGAAAAAGGAAAATGATTATACTCTGTTTGGATTGGATAAGTTCAGTAAAGGGGAGGGAAGAATTATAGTGGATGAAACGGTCTCTTGTTTGAATTAAAAAGGGAATGTAGCTCCATATAATTTATAAAAGATCATTGTTTTGCTTGGAGGTGTAGTGAAATTGAATTATGGAAAGTTGAGTCATGTTCCTCCAATCCCTCGTTCCTCTTTCCCATACTCCGAACAAACCTTTGGCTTATTTGGTTTGGGGATTATGGAGGGGAGAGAAGGTCAAGGTTTCTTTTTAAATTATTTCTACATATACTCACTATTTTTTGGCTTGCGAATATGATAGAATAAAGCAAAGGGCTCACTAAACTGTCTGCGCTTCTTTGTTATGAAGCAATATTCAGTCCATGCAATTTTCGATGTGAATTTCACTACGAGTCATCCGGAAACAGTCCCTCTATGCTTTAGTACAAGGGTAAGGCTGCGTACATCCAACCCCCCTTACGTCACCATAGGTGGGAGCCTTAGCTGCACTAGGGTAATGATGATGACTCTTTTAGATGTCTGTAAATAAATTGAAGATGAAAAATAACAATGAAATACATGATCTAACTAATCATATAATTATTTCTAGTTTAAAACTAGCAAATAAAGAGAAATTAGTAAAATAAAAAATAATCACTTTCCTCTCCTTCCGCAATCCCCAACCAAACAAGGGTTTAGAGTCGAACCATTGATTGATTTGGCTCATCTTGATTTGTGATCTGTTGTTTCAGTTTTATGGATTTAATGTTGCTAAACTGGCATCATCTAAAGAAATCCCTAATAAGTGTTTTTCGAATGTACTATATGCAGCTGGAACAGTTAGGCATTGGACCTGGGGCAAGGAGCTCTCATGCAATCACCATTGTAGGACAAAAGGTCTATGCTTTCGGTGGTGAGTTCACCCCACGTGTCCCTGTTGACAATCAACTCTATGTGTTCAATCTTAGTGACCAAACTTGGTCATTGGCTGAGGCTGCCACTGGAGATGTCCCTCCCCCTCGTGTAGGTGTCACTATGGCATCCATTGGGGAGACAATATACGTCTTCGGTGGAAGAGATGGTGAGCACAAAGAGCTGAACGAACTTTATTCTTTCAACACATCCACGAACCAGTGGACCCTCTTGTCAAGCGGGGATGACGGCCCCCCGAACCGGAGCTACCACTCCATGACAAGTGATGATCAACACATATTTGTCTTTGGTGGGTGTGGTTTGACCGGTCGGCTTAATGATCTCTGGTCTTACAATATCGTTAGTGAAAAATGGGCAAAGTTTCCCTTGCCTGGGGATGCTTGTAAAGGTAGAGGTGGACCAGGACTGGCCGTAGTCCAAGGAAAAATCTGGGTTGTGTATGGATTTTCTGGTGATGAACTTGATGATGTACATTGTTTCGATGCAACTGAAGAGAAGTGGACTCTTGTCCAAACTAAAGGAGAGAATCCATCTGCGCGGAGTGTGTTTTCAACAACTCGGATTGGGAAGTACATATTTATATATGGTGGGGAAGTTGACCCAAGCGACTTAGGTCACCTTGGTGCTGGAAAGTTTTCTGCTGAGGTTTATGCTCTTGATACTGAAACACTAGTTTGGAAAAGGTGGGATGCCACTGGAGATCTTCCAGGGCCAAGAGGATGGTGTGCTTTTGCTGGCGGGCAGCGAGACGGGCAAGAGGGGTTGCTAGTATATGGAGGTAATTCACCCACCAATGATCGGCTTGGTGATGTATTTTTTTTCACTCCTTTCTTGGAGCTTTAGTAGCAAATATTTCTCCGTAGTGTTGCTGGATGTGTAATAATGGATGAGTAAAGTTCTGAAATTCGGTTAGATTGGCAACAATAATTGGGTAGTATTTTGCTTTCTCTCCTGTATGCTTTCTTTCTTGCTTACATTGTTTTTGTCTTGCATTCTTGCTCCACTGTTGCTACTATATATTGTCATCATGTCATGTGATTTTTATGCCTTTCTTTTCTTGCCTCATTTACCCAATCGTTTTAGTTCCAGTTGCTCACACTATTTTTCATCTTAGAGAGACTGTTTTCTAATTCAACCTTTTCACTTAAATCTTCAAAAAGTTTAAAAGTGTGAGTTTCGTCAGAACTCATTATATAATCCAGGTCATATTCTTGGTCATACGCGGTATATTGACAACAATGCGAGAATCTTATGTGTTAAAAAAGAAATATGTATGAAAACAGCAAGTAATGCAAAGTTTAAGAAAGTAACTTAAAGTTTTAATTCCGTAGATGTTAAGTTACGTTATATGCATACAATAATGTATGAGAAGATAACAAGTTTGCAACATGTAGATGTTTGATGAAGGTCAAAAAGTTTAAAAAGGCGGAAAGGAGAGGAGAAAAGCAAGAAAGAAACGAAGGAAAGAAAAATTAGTGGAAAGGAAAAGTCAAAAGCAAAGAAAACATGAAAGGTGAAATGAAATGAAAAAATAGTTCACCCTTGAATGGTATGTTAGGAACTCGGAAAAAGACGGGAATTGAGAAGATGAGTCCCCTTACTATCGTATAAGTGACATTTTTGCTATTAGACTTTCAATTTTTCATTTTTGGTTCTCGACTATTGTGTGAGAACTAATGGAGAATACACCTTTATTCATCGACTTCAAAGTTTTACATATTTAGTCCTCTGTGTATTATCAAATCGATATTTTTAGTCATTCCACTAAGATTTTGACACAAGTGGAGAACTAAAAATTCATTATAATAATAGTTGAAGGACAAAAAAGTGTTACTTTTATGAAACAAACAAATTATTTAGCCTGTTATATAGTCCATACACATAATTCCTCTGTCTCACTAAAATTGTTTCATCTTTCTTTTTCATTTTAACCCACTAATATTGTCGCATATCGGTAAATTTTGTGTGATTTTAAATCATAATGATTTTATTCCTATTTTATCAATTCAATATCAAACACACAAATCTATTTTTTTAATAATCGTGTCATCCCTATCTCCGAATGTTAGTGGGACGGAGGTAGTAGTATATATGTGGGCTGAGTGGGTTGAAAGTTGAAACACACACATGACACATTGCTAATTAAATCTCAGTCATTGTTTTGAAAAAAATCATCTGCATACTATTTGATATACTATAGGGTGATCTAGTAAAAATTTGGAGTGCGGGACACAGAGATTTGACAGCTGTGTGATGTAGTTGAAGGAAGTATATACTACATAGTGATCCAGTTGTATATAAATCATATTCCAAAGAAATGGATGTGCGGGACACAGAGACGATTCTAGCAGCAACAGAAGATACATATGGAGGGGTCACTGTCGACATGAAGGAGAAGATGGATTCAAACCCCTTCGCTACTTCGTTGACAGCTTCGATGCAGCTATGGAAACAGCAAGTATGTATATATGTGGATGTATAATGTATGTATATATATTCGGAAAAGATCCGGTCCAGCCGGAGGGACAGGATCCTCCGTCCGGCCGCCGAAGCTTTTCTGATGGAATGTTTCGATCGGGAAGACAGTCAAATAATTTTAAAATAACTGCGTTTATATGTTTAATTTGGCGCAATTATCTTCCAAAAATTATTTGACTGTCTTCCTGATCGAATTTTTAGCTGAAATTCTTTGTGATAACCTAGACGTGATAAGGAACATTTTCAAAAAAACTTCCACTGGGAACCGCCCCAAACGGCGTCGGTCGGACGGAGGGTCCTCTCCCACCGGCGGGATAGGACCATTGCTCTCTCTTACCTATAACCTATGTAGCTGCTTTATTAATTCTATTCTTTTTAATTTATCTACAGATCGACTACTCTGAATTTACTTTGAATATGTGTGGTTAATTTGTACTTACATTATTCGAATATGTTGTATTATGATACGGTGTATTTAAAATTTTGTCATTGATTCCTAATTTCTAATACGATACACTCCTAATGTTAATGGTTCTGCTCGTCCCTTCATACATAAACACTTGAGAAGAAGGGGATCGAGTTTGGCTTAAACATTCAAAACAATTTTCAAGTTTTGTTGGTACTGCTGAAACGGTTTTTAATAGTTACTCCATCCGTCCCTGTCATTTCTTTCAACTTTCTTTTTTAAATCGTCCCAATTAATTCTTACAACTTTCACTTTTGGAAAAACTATGTGGTTTACATTCATTCACCTTTTTTACACAACTACAACCATGCATTTCCACTTTATTATCACTATCTAAATTTGTGAGCCAAGTCAAAACCGGAAGAAATGACCGGGACGGAGGGAGTATTACATTACCATTTATTTGTGTAACGACGACATTATTGAGTTCGTTTTGAATTTTATAAGGTCAATTTCAATTCCATCATTGATGAAGAAGGCAAGATTAGTTTTAGTTTTGGAAAAAATTGACACTAATAATCTCAACTATTTGCGGCCACTCATCAAAATAACTCCAACTATCAATTATTTCAAAATAATCGAAACTTTAGGGATCTTCCGCCAATAATGATCTAACGTGACCGGTTACATGTTCAGTAAATAAAAAATACTAAGATTATAATAATCCTAACTATCATCTGTTCACTTCTGTTGGACCAAAAAAAATTAAATTAAAATTTGCCTAAATGAATAGAAAGGGTAAAAAAGATTAAAAAATTTATTTTTTATTTAATTAACTTCTTTAGATAGTTTGTAGAATTAGAGAATATAAAATCTATAATTATATATAGAATATGCAAAAACTTATACTACGTATGAATTTCAAATTTAAAATTTTATAACATGTAAGATATTTTAAATATATAAAGAAGGAGTGAAAAAAGGTCAATACAAAAACCTTAAAGGAAAATTGAAATCCAAATTAAGTACCAATTCAATTTAAAAAATAGAAAACCTCGATTTTCAAAATTAAGAATGTGAAAAAGATGAAAATACTGATACTTATTTTCAAAACAAAAACAAAATTAAAAGCTAATCATTCTAACATATTAAATCATTTTAAATTAGTAAAAAAACAGTAAAAATCTTGAATTTGTAACAAAATACAAAAAACGATTATTTATCACAAATTAAAATTTTCCCAGAAAAAAAAATGTAACGTTTTTTATTTCTAAAATGAAATGCATTTTTATATTTATAAAATTCAAAATTTGAAATTTAAATATATTTTTCTACTTTTTGTAAAAAAATTGAGTTGATGATGGTTGGAATTATTAATAGGAGAACAAGCATAGTTCAGATAATTTATAGAATATGCTTAGTTTCTATTTAAAATTGACCTGTTATATCAGATAATACTCGATCATATATGGACCATTATTGGTGGACGACTCATATAGTTGGGATTATACAAAAATAATCAATAATTGAGATTATTGTTAGTGGAACGATATTAGTTGGGATTATTATTTTTAATTTTTCCTATTTGAAATGCACGCTTTAATTTATTTAAGGCCCAAGTATAAGTTTTGATGTTTATATAATTCCATTCCTCTACCAATATACGTTAATTGTACTAACCCTGAAAATGACTCTTCCCCTATCCAGTATTAAATTTGCACTAATTGAGTTAATTGTTTAATTGTTTCATACAATATACTCCCACCGTTCTTTATTAACTGTCTCACATTCTTTCTTGGGACGTTTTTTATTATTTGTCTCTCTTTCCCTTTTTGGTAAGTTTTTTCAATCAAAATACCTTTATACCCCAACTTTTATTACTATTACCCTTTTCTCTTTCCTACTTTTTCATTTACCCACAACCCACTACACCTTTTACACTACCCCTATTATTTTCCTCTTAAAACCCGTACCAAATTAAAACTAAGAGAACTCATATTTAAGAACGGAGAGAGTATATCGATATACTTTTCTTTAATTTATCAATACTTAAAAGTATTGATAAAGAAAAGTATATCAATATATGTATTTGTGCGTTTGATCGAGATTCCTAATATTATTGTTGTTAATAATGTTAGAAGTCCCACACTAATGATCATGGATGATGGAGATCTATAATATTCTAGGAATATGAGTTTTCTGAATGTCAAAGAAACATATTGCGACAAACATACTCCTAGATAGGAATCTCCAATATATACTTCTTCCTTACTTAGTGCAACAATTCACTTTTCACATTTGTCAATGCACAAATTTAAACATTAATATATATTATTTTTTATTAAAAATATTTTGAAAAATTACCATGAGACAAATTTAACAATTTTTTTTTAAAAACACATACCTTTCCTATATCCAAAGCTATCATTTACAGAGTATATGTTATTGATCGGTTACTTCGATCAATGTCTATCATTGTATTAATTATAAATTCTGGGGCCTCTAATAACGTACAATGATGACTATATATATATATATATATATATATATATATATATATATATATATATATATATATATATATATATATATATATCATTGTACGTTATTAGAGGCCACAGAATAACTATCATCATAGTCCTTCAATTCATTTTCGCAATTCAAACTTGTAACTACGCATTAAGTTTTAATTACTCTGTATTATTTATACACGTGCACCCACACACATATACATATAATGAATATGTGTTTGGGTCCGAACATATGGTATATAATTTTGACCGCCGGAATTATGATTATCTTGAATATTATAGCGATACAATTTGCAAAAGGTTTCGTATCTTCAGTGAAAGTACTAGATAAAATCGATGACAAATTTGGAGGAGTGATCGTCGAAATGAAGGAGAAGATGAATCCATCCACCTTTGCTACTTCTCTCAAAGCTTCACTATTTCTATGGAGTCTCCAAGTATTTGTCCTTGTTTTACTTTTTGCGGTTTCTACTTTAAGCCCCTGTTTGGTTCAAAGGAGGGAAAGGAAGGGGAGGGTAAAGGAGGGAAGGGGAAGGAAGGAGAAAGAAGGATTTTAACAAACATTTGTGTTTGGTTGGAGGAAAAGGGAGGAAGATTTAATAAAATAAATTTCCTAATTTACCCTTGTTTGATAAGTAGCTTATCATTGGCAATCCTTTGACTAAATATGAAGTACTTTTTTCACCATTATAGAAAATCTAGTATTACTTTACTATATACGTATATGTTAGATCTAATTGACACAAACCAATTGTTGAATAATTTCAAACATTCGATTATATATGTAGAAGAAGCGATATTATTTAAATTATGAAATAATTTCAATTCCAATCATATAATTAGTCGTTATATAAGAGATTGATTACTTTAAAAATATAAATTTATTTAATAGTATTGTATTTTAATCCTAAATGGCATTTACATAAATATTAAAAACAACTAAATAGTTCTAAACATGAGTTATAAAAATTGAAAAACTGTCTACGACAACAGAAACAATTCAATTTTTTTTATTATAAACAATTCAAAATCTTGATAAACTATAAAAAATGGTCCATTAAAAAAGTACAAGCTAAGTCTCTAAAAAGCTTAATTTTTTCAAATATGATTTATTTTTGAGAAACAACTAATATTTCAAAATCAAAAGAAAAAATGAACTACAAATATTTCAAACAAGCTCTTACCTATAAAATTAAGATTTCAAAACTAAAACTATTCAAACAATAAATAAACTACAATGCAACCCAAATATAACCATAATGTCATTATAAGGTTCAAACGAGATGTATAAAACATACTAGTCAAAATATACTTCCATAGCATATCAAACATCATATGTCTAGTTCAATAGCATAAATCATAAATAGTCTTCACATCACAAATGTGAATTATAGAACATTAGATAGTAGGCAGTGAAGTAGACAACTTCAGTGAACTAAGATTGCTCCATAGAACCAAACGTCCCTCGAATAAAATCCTTGCGATACTCCATTGGACAACCAAGCACCGCATTAAGCAGATCCACATTCATCACAAGTTTGCTGTAATACATGTGGATTAGCGGCGGTTGAAATCCCAATTCCATCAACAATTCGTAAGTCTGGCTTGGAGATATTGGAGCTTTCTTGCTTAGAAGCTCACCAGAAGTTTTGATCGCATCAGCCACCTTCTCAATTGCTTCCTTAATTCCTTCACCAAGAATGTTTTTCTCTTTTGCAATTGATTTCTTGGATTTTTTTGGTGGATTTACTATTTGAATTAGACGTTATCTCAACATCATCATCAACACGCACATGTGAATCAGTGGTAGAGTCATTGTAGTCATCTGTACCAATTGAACTAGGACGCTTTCGAAGCTCCGAAGCAGTTGTTGATTGATCTCCAGTAGCTCTATCTTTTCCATAGAGAATCACCATTTTATCACAGTAAGGTACAGGAGCTTGCATGAACATCTTAGCTTGAGGCTTCACCTACGCCAACCCAAATTGAATAAACCAAATTTAACACATTCATATGCAATCAGTACAGAGAAAACAAACTTCATCTAAACAAGCAACTAAATAAAAATAAAATAAAATAACTTCTCTTTTGAATAAGAAATAATTAAATAAATTAAAACAAGGATATAATTTGAAAATTTCATTTGAGGGTATACTGTAACAATACCTTGATAAGGTCATCCCAAACTTCTGATTCAGCTGTCCAAGCTTGTGTTATTGGGTCTATAGTGAATCCGCTCATACCATTCTTGAAAATGTCATAAGCCTATGAAAAGTGTTTCTTCAAGAGCTTCCATCGACTCTTTATTTGGCTCTTTTCAATTTTTATGTCATAAGTTCTTTTCATTTCAGCCAGAATGTTATCGTACGCCTTGGTAATGAAAGTGCCATTAACATTCAATCCCATATTATACTGACTCACGTATGCATCAACCAAAGTTTCATCCATAGCAGGCGTCCAAAATAGCATTTTTTAAGCGCTCTCCTTGAACAGAATCTTCTTTGTTACTTCTGAAGTGATTCTCATCTTAAGTGATTTCTTGCCTGGCGATCTCAGCATCAACCTCAGCTATAAGCTCCTCATCAGGGTCAAATGTCATTAGATAATTATGTAAAATGCAACATGCTAAAATTATACCATTTGGACTTTCATTTCATAACGAGGACCACAATCATTTGAAATGAGAACAAATCGCCTTTTCAAAACTCCAAATGCACGTTCAATAGCATTGCGCAATGATGCATGACGAAGGTTAAACAATTCACGATGATCTTTTGGAGGATTTCGTGCAGAATATTCCTTCAAATGATATCGTACTCCTCTATAAGGTGTGAGTAGCGATCTTGATAACATGAAGCCAACATCGACGAGGTAATACTTTCCTTAAATGAAACAATTATCAAGATAAATATTTGGCTCTGAAAATTAAATTTACTTATATGGTAGAATAGCTAAAAAGGAAACCTAATTTACCCGTAGGAATTTTCAAATTGTCCTCTCTCGCCAATGCATTTTTTATAATTCTAGAGTCTGAGGCAGTCCCTTCCCATCCAGCAAGAGCATATGTAAACTTCAAATCAAATGTGCATGCAGCTAAGACATTTTGGGTTGGATGATCTTTTCTACCACGATACTTCGGGGCCTCTTTCGGGGACACTCTTACAAGAATATGTGTCCCATCAATTGCACCAACACAATCCTTGAAGTAAGGGAAAAATCTTTCATTGTCTTGAACCTCGGTTGAAATTGTAGTGCCATTGGGTTGGATAAGAAATTGATCCCCTAGTTTAATTATAGCTCTTATCACGTTATGTAAGTGACGGCTAATAGTTTCTCCAGAACGTCGAAACCAGAAGTTCACCTCACGGCTCTTGGCACCATGTGTTAGTACATATAATGTTTTTGCAAGTTGTTCTTCAACACTTGCCCATCGTGTAGGTTTTAAGCCACATTGCCTCTCTAACATTTGAGATAACCTAAGAAATGTTGCTGGTCCCATACTCACTATATTGCGACCTTCTTCACTACTCATAATACGCGTCATTGTTTCTTCCCTATTTCGTTCTCTTCCTGAGCTCATGGTATATGTTATTTTCTTTTTAGCATAACACATTTGAATGAAGTACCATTGAACAACAAGGCAAAGAACGTGAGCTACCATATTTTGCACCATGTTACACCATCCTACGGGTGTTTTGTGATCCATCTATACCATAAATATACACAGTAATATCCAAAATAGTCAGTTAAAATATTTTTCAAAATAACCACTTTCTTAACTTCCTTTTATAAAAAGAATGAGATGAAAGATTTAGTAACATGCAACCACACTATTTTTAAAATTTTCATTTGCTAAAAAACATTATTTAAACCAACTCAAACAAATTTACTAAGCATGCTACCAAAGAAGAAATTTTGGTTTTGCTCATTACATTATTTAAAATATAAGCAACTGCCTACCTCCCTCATTTGGAACAGGGGAAAAGAAATCTCATTTGGAACAGGGCCTAAACTCAAAGCATATACGTAGTACTTATAATGAGCAGTGCAGTTTGTTAAATAGTTTGTTGTTAACCTGTTTTGGATTACAATCTTATTAGTTTCTTAGTTTTAACTGTTAACTGTAGGTTTGTATTCTTAAAGCTTGTGACTTAAATTATATTCTTTGATTTACTTGAATGCAAAACTGGTTGGTAACGCATTGACATAATCCCCATAACCCCATGTATGTATCGAGCAGTAAGGATTGATTTAAGTATAAAGAGTAAGTTTTCCCTCATAGCTGGACTTCACTATTTCTATAACATATAATAATTTCAAAGAACAGATCAAAAAATCTATCAAAGAGTAATATGCCATCCATTCTCAATTTCAATGTCAAACTGATGATATTTAGAAGAACATATGTAACTTTCCTGGGTATCATAGCTAATGTAGGAATTAACTTATTTGGAGCTATATTAATAATTAGCAGAAGATTTAACTATCTAAGGAGACATCAAATTCCACCAAAATCAAGCTTTCTCAGAATCATACGAAGTGTAATATGTTTACACTGAAATGTTTGATGTTTGATTTCAAATATAATGGAACTAACTGTAATTCTTACATAATACCAATATGCATATTCATATCTGAATATAAATCATATGAAAAGTGAGATTAAAAAATCAAAATTTATTGACAAAGCTCAGAAATGGCACAAATCAGCACTCAAACTCAACAAAACCCGATAGAGCCGGCGGAAAATTTGCAAAAGAACAGTACATAATTTCTGAAATCGTCAAGAAGATCGGAAAAAACTCCAAGTAAACTAAAAATAATCAATGCTTCAAGATCGGAAATATGAATAGGGTAAGTATATGAAGAGAACCTCATAAAAATCATATCAAAATCACTCAAGGAGGCAATCAATCTAGGTATCTCAACTAAGAGTTTTTTGACTAGGAAATCAAAATCCCAGAATCACACAAACATTGATATGCAATGAACCTGAAACCTAAACAGATAAAGCAACGAACTCACAGATGAGCGAAATCACCTCCTTTCTGCTCAACGATTGTCGATTACGCTGCGAGCTGATTAATTTGATCCATGTTTGAGAGAGGATTGAAGGCTTGCGGCTACTCCTGAATGACGCAAAGGAAGGTCGAAGGAATTAGGGCGTCTTTTGAGTTACAAATACAGGGTTATTTTTGTCCATTTACATTTAAAACTTACGGCGTGCCTTTGATATCCCCTGAAATACCCCAATTCGGAGCACTCAAAATGGGGGATAGTGGAGGTTTTTTAAAGTTCTCCAGATTCCTTCCCTTCTCTCTGTTCCTTCTAACCAAACAAATTTTGATCCTCTATTATCCTTCCTTTCCTCCCAAAATCCTCAAACCAATCGAGGCCTTAATAACGGAGTACTCTATAATTCCGTGTAGACTTGACCACTACTCATTTCGATTTACATGCCATTATATGTTTGCTTTCATACATTTTTCCGTTTATATTTTTTTTAGAGAACTTGTGCATAACGTTAGTAAAACATTGCATGATTAATTAAGTTTATAAATATGTTTAATTGATCGAGTGTGTTATATTTCCAAAATATGACTTATTTAGTCTTTATAAACATTAAATTTAAAATCTTTTCTTGTGGTCCTCTTTGACCTCATTTGTATATTACTCTAGCTGACTAAGCTCCAATAAGACCGGTTTAATATTACCTACATTCTTTATATTACTTGTCACTTTATATTTTCACAAAGTATTTTATAAAAGTTGAGCTGGATAATACTTAATGTAGAAAATGTATGAAAGAGGAGGAAAAGTAAAAGAAATTAGAAAATATGAGAAGAAAAAGTTAGTTTTAGTAGAAAATGTATAAAAGAGAAAGAGAAAAAGTAGAATACAAGTTTCCAAATATTATAATTTGTGAAAAGTGGACAGATAATATTTTTTCTTCAAAAAGGAATAAACAAGTAAAAAAGAAAAAATAGAATATTATTTTATATTATTTTCATTACTAATATTATTAGTAATATTGTCATTATCGTTAATTTTAATTATCATTGTTCACTATAGGGGAAAAAAGGAGTTTGGTTGAAGCTTCCAATAGAGCTTTCAGATCTCGTTGATGTTGCCAAAAAGGTATACTAATGCATTCAATTATGTGCTTAATTATATACTACTCCGTACAAGTTATGTATGTATCTAAGTGATTAATTATGTACGTCTGTCTTGGTTACTACACATTAAATTAGAACTTTTAAGCATGCATACTATACACACATATATAAACATCAAGTTCAAAATAAGAATTAATCTTAATCAATAATATCAAAATGAGATACAAGAATCAAATTTTAAGTAAGAAACGCGGTGATATATTATACGTAGTAGTACTTATAAAGAACTTCAAATGAAAAATTATGTAACTATTGAGTATCAGAGTAGGAATTAGCGAGCTAAGCGACAGTCTCTGTAATCAGTATGTTAGTCTAAATTAACTTGTTCACTTGCCTACTGGTCATGTGAACTTTTTAGTAAACATGAAATGGATTTATTTCTCATCAAACGTGACCTAAAACATATTTTATGTAATGTGCACTCAGTTTTGCAAATGTTTTTATAAGGTGCACCTCATCTATCAAATCCTAGAATACCATGTCCATCTAGGCCTTCAAAGTTCATCGCATGTTCAAAATTCGACAATTAATTTATTTACCTAATCTAATGTAACATATTTGTGTTACATGACTTTACAATTGACTTGCAAACATATGATGTGTCATTGATATTTGATTAATAAAACATATAGGTCTCATAAAAAATTTCAAAATATTACACACTTATTTGCAATAATAGTAAATTATATTGCACAACATTAGTGATGATTGTAAAATTATAATGGATATAACAATTTGAACAATAATTTATACTACGTATAATATTCCACTATATATTAATTATTAAACGGAAGTGCAATATTTGAGAGAGAATCACAAAAAAAGAGAATAATAATGTTTGTGTAGTTAAATCATAGAACGAAGATATATTAAAGATACAAACACATTTTGACAACGAACATTAAAGCATGTATGAATATTTGGAAAAACTCTTAAATTACATCGGAAAAATATGCAAGTTTTGGCAATATTGCATGTTTTAAAAAACATCAACACATGCCATGCATTATGAAGTGTTCATTATGTTACCTTAGCTTGTACAGAAAAATAATCCAAATTAAGCAGTAAACTTCAACTTCAAATAGTGAACAAGGGAAAATAAAACATCATAAAAAATAAAACATCAATTCATGGAAAAGAGAACAAGATGACATTTGAGAAAATAGAATATCCACATTGATAGTTGAGAAGATAGGAAGCATGTATGATAAGTTACTCGAGAAACAAAATTAGAAAAATAAACACTTTGGAATGAAAAAATCGAGAAGAAAGTCTTGAACATAATTGAATGGAATGATGTTTTCACACAAAAAAAAACTTAAAAATGGAATCCATTTAGCCAAAAGTTAATAGGTAGTATATAATTATACATCTAACGGTATGTATGAATGTTTTCTGATTTCACATTGATATATAAGAGAATTACCCCTCTTACAATTAAAAGAACATGATGTTCCCAATGTATGACTCTTTTAGTGTTAAGACCTGAGGTTCCATCCTAAAAGGTCAACCTGATAGGAGGAGTAGCCCAAAGACTTATATCGTGGTTTATTGTTTTATAGCTTTCCGGTGTGGGACAAATAATCTAACACGCTCCCTCAGCCCGAACCAGACTGGATAATATCGGGGTGTATAGATGGGCCAAACAGACCCTTAACAAGCTACCTGTAATCATGGGTGCTAAACAAGCTGTCAAACTACAACCGGAATTGGTTCTGATACCATGTTAAGACCTGAGGTTCCATCCTAAAAGGTCAACCTCATAGGAGGAGTGACCCAAAGCTTTATATAGTGGTTTATTGTTTTATGAGAAAAGGGGCAAATAAGCCCATGTACTAATAAAAAAAGGTCAAATAAACTCTTATATAGGAGGCTGTGTCTGGCCGTCGTCATTTGGGGTGGTTCCCGGTGAAAATTTTTGATGCAATATTTTGAACATATTATTCATTAAGTCTAGTTTACTCATACCAAATTTAAGCTAAAACTTCAATCGGGAAGGCATTCAAATGAATTCTTGAAGATAACTGTGTAATTAAAAGCGCAATTATCTTCAAGAATTTATTTGAATGCCTTCCCAATTGAATTGTTAGCTAAAATTTGGTATGCGTAAACTAGATTTAATGAATAAGATTCTCAAAAAATTTCATCAAAAAATTCCACCGGGAACTACCCCAAATGGCGACGGCCGGACAAAGCTTCCTATATAAGGGCTTATTTGACATTTTTTGGTTAGTACGTGAGTTTATTTGCACCTTTTCCCTTGTTTTATAGCTTTCCCGTGTGGGACAAATACTCTAACATTTAGTTTTTTCCCTGGTGTGATGCTCTCATATTATAGATGGTATGTACGTGCCTTTATTATTTATTTCAATTCCATTGATGTCCTCCAATCAATAATTAATAAGCAGTTATTTTCTCCTGAAATTAAGGAATTGAATAGTTTTGCACGGCGTTCATGTAAATACCATATTAATAGGTCTCCTAATAATAAGGAAGCAATGATGCATGTTTCTACTTGGGTTGTTTTCAGTCCCAGACTAGATTAGACTTAAACAGACCAGACCAGACCAGGACAGATCAGACCAGACTTAAACATACCAAACCAGACTAGACGTTTACCAGACCAGACCAAACCAAGAAATTACAGTCCAAGTAAAAACATCCTGATTCCTCATAAAACGTAAAATGAACTTTCTTCTTCCTAAAAATTAGGAATTTGTAATCACATATAATTATCATCATAAAACGCCACATATAATAATTTAGAGTTTACGTACATTTTAATCACATATCATTATCTTCATAAAACGCCACATTTAATAATTCCTCAACCGTACATAATTTCAAAGAATAAGCATTTTGAATAAAGTTAAATATAAGCATGCAGGCAATAATTTAATTTACTGTCCAAACAATTTTAATTTACGGTCCAACCATATTTAAATTTTACGTACATACTTTTCACATATTCAATTTATTTTCCAAAAACATGTATTTCACTTCACAAGGACATTCAATATTCATTTTTTCCTATAATGCGCACACACAAAAATACACTGTCAAAAATTTATTGTCTCAAAAACTCAAATTCCAGTCCAAATATAATTATTGCCCTTAATATATTTTATACATTCATTGCCCTTGGTATATTTTATTTATATTCAGTACGAAAACCCCTTATATTCAGCCTTGTTGTCTGATCTACAACATTAATTACTTTGTTCTCCTTCCCAAACAATATTGATGTCTACATTTCCTTTTTAATATTTGTTCTTAGTCTACTCACGTGAAACATTCAGGTTATGGCAATAAGGTGTTTTCCATCTCCTATTTTTAAGCTAATGATGCGTAGCATTGTTTTTAGTCATAGATACATAAAAAACTTATTTGGGTCATGTATTGGAAATTCTCCTTCTTTTTAGTCATAGATGTGTATTTTTTACTATATATAATGTTGAATTCAATGTAGGGTACGTAAATAATGTGAAATAAACATGAGATAAAATGCCAACATATGTATCATATTTGTAATTACTTTGCTGGTTTGTAATATGAATATTAGGAAGGATTTGTGTATCATCATGCGGAGGAAACATATGTAATGATGGTGTATTGGATCCCAAAAACTCCTTCCACTCTACCTGCAAACGCTTCCCATCAAGTTGGCATTGGTGCTTTTGTAATCAACGATGAAGGAGAGGTAATTTATATATAATTCGTACTACGTATTAATTAAAACTATGAATTTAAAAATATAGAGCAATTAACTTTCCGGCTCAAAGCTGAGAATATTGGATGGGTAAAGATATTGAAATTTTGATGGATAAATCATCTCAAATGCAATCATTCAAGAGATAATTAATATTATATTGGCATACAAATATGATTATATGCCATGTGCAGATACTTGTGGTGCAAGAAAAATATGGCAAATTTGGAGGAACTGGATTATGGAAGATGCCTACTGGCGTAGTGAAAGAGGTAATCTAGCTAACTATTACTTACAACATGTGTTAGTTAATTAGATGTATCAAGAGTTATTTAGTATGTTTGGCATAGCTAGATGAAAAGATACATTTTTAGAATTATAATAATTGTTAGTTTTTAGTGACTAACAATATCTTAAAAGAAAAATGTTATAATTAGATTGTTCCTTAGAAGTTGCATACTTTAATTTCTCTAAGAAACTACTTACGTATGTAGTATATTACTCCCTCCGTCCCGCTAATATTGTCCCATCTTTTTTTGTCCGTCCCACTAAGATTGTTTCATACCAAATTTGGTAAAGTTTGTGTGATTTTAAATGATTCTTACTTTATTCTTAGTTTATCAATTCAATATTAACTATATAAACTCACTTTCCTTAATAGCCCCACCACATCCTCATGTCCCAATGTTAGTGGGACGGACATAGTAGCTACTAAAAATTTTAAACATTAAAATGTGCCCTAATAAAAGGGTTGCACCAAACATACAACTAACAACCTTTACATACTTTAAATAGTATTCCGTACAAGAGTTATAAGGAGAAACTTATTATACCTAGCTACAAACCATGCACACACACACACACACACACACATATATATATATATAATGTACTAATGTATAAATATCCGATCTCTTAGGGTGAAGATATATCTGACTGTGCTGTAAGAGAAGTTAAAGAAGAGACGGGAGTAAGCTATTTTACTTTAATTTGTACATGTGCTTATTAACCAAACTTTTTGTGCTTAGCTAGCTATCTAGCTACTCCTATCATTAGTACATTTTCATTCTTATAAAAGTACTCACAAAGAAATACTCTAATTGTATGTTTCATTTTATACTTCCCCCCGAAGATTGACGCAGAGTTTGTTGAATTCCTTGCATTCAGGTGTGCCTTCCTCTTATACTATTACCGGTTTTGAGTAATATGTGTTACTACATATTATTATTAGATCTTCTTTCTTTAACTCTGCTTGTTTGATTATGTTGGGATGGCAAACAATATACTTACGGGGGATACTACGGGAAAATACCCAAAGTCTAAAAAAACAAGCTGAATATAGATGCTAGTGGTCTAGACTTTCGAGTTTAGTCTCAGCTTCAACCACTTTCCGCCCTTCAAACAAGTATAACTATTTTAATTATAATTGATTGAATTCAAACAAATATAACTGTTTTAATTAAGGGTGTACTAAACATGGCCTATATAAAAAAATGTTACTCCCTCCGTATTTGTTTAGAACACTTTTCTTCTTTTCTATTCATATTTATTCATATAATTATATTAATTGTGTTGCCGCAACGTAACATAATGGCTGTCTTCATGTGTATAGTTTTATCATTATCAAGTATTCAAGTGTATAATATAATATAATATAATATAATATAATATAATATAATATAATATAATATAATATAATATAATATAATATAATATAATATAATATAATATAATATAATATAATATAATATAATATAATATAATATAATATAATATAATATAATATAATATAATATAATATAATATAATATAATATAATATAATATAATATAATATAATATAATATAATATAATATAATATAATATAATATAATATAATATAATATAATATAATATAATATAATACGAAGTACTTCTTTGGGTTAGTAAACAGCTTTTTAAGCGGTCTGTGTGTTTACTTCACTTGTCTTATTAACCTAACTATACTTTTAGTAGTGAAGTAAACACGTCCCTAGAGATCATTTAATTTACGTTTCTCTGAAGTTGACATCCATCGCCTAGAAATGACTTAAAATGATGTAGTTTTTGTCCGCTTAAAAGCATTCATGACATCTGATATTGATCGACTTGCTTAAAGTTATTAATCATTATATTGGTATTTGTAGGCAAAATCACAAATTACTATTCAGCAAATCCGACTTGTTCTTTGTTTGCAAGCTAAAACCACTCTCCTCTACTATCACCAAACAAGATACTGAGATCACTGATGCAAAGGTATATATGTTGCATATTTAATACTCCGTAATACTATTGTCCATTATGCCACATTATACTTGTCCTTCGTCTAAATATATACCCCAAAACCATTTTGCATTATTTAAGCTCGAGTCTGACATGTTACCTAATTAATGCATACTATTAGCTTCAGTTTGACTTATTTAGGTGACCTCACACCCCCTGAAGCCTCTTTACCAAGTATGTTAATAAAATGAATCAGGTCAACAATATAAAGTTTATCACACAAAATTATGCAACCTTATAATAAGCTAGTTTTCAGCTTATCATGAACTTTTGCATAATTCAAATCTTGAAAGACTTTAAATCTTAATGACTTTTCTATTGAAAACAACTTAATGACCATAGCTATCTTATTATATAACCTTTATATTTGTGTGTGTATTTGCAACATTATATATATATATATATATATATATAAGTCATATGTATGTTAAGCTAAGCAAACTTCAGAGTTGGATTTAGACCAGCCTTTTTTGATAAACGAGGTCTAATAAAAGTATGAGCCTCGCTTATTTACTAAAAATCAGCTATGCTCCCACCCGTCACAGGATTACAATGTAGACTATGTAAGTTCCTAAATAGAATTATTTATATTTTTACTCAAAGTTGAACTTATTTCAAATAAAAGAATAAAAAATATTTCAAGTTTCTTGTTTTATGAGAAACATTTTGTAATGCCTTAAATGCAGAGTGGAGGCAAATAAATAGGGATGATGGTGTGATTATATTCTAAATAAATTTCTCAAAATATGAACAAATATTGACAATTAAAGTTTCAAATATAAGATTAATTATGATATATTTCTGATTTGGGACTTATTTTGCTGGAACAAAAGAATAAAAATAATAAAAACTTCTTCAGTGAGGAGTTACTGATTACTATTTTAATTTGAGAAAAAAATCAAATGATGATATATGTTTTACTTCTGTTTAGAGAATTTCCTCAACTCTACAACCATTACTTAATACTCTATGATCTTTATACTACTACCTAATTTAATTATATTACATTATTATTTTATACCGCATCTTACATTATTGTATAATATAATACTACATATAACATTATTATGTTATACTACATATTATAGTGGATGAAAATTGAAGAGTACATGGAGCAACCATTTGTTAAAGAGAGTGAGAGCTTTAGTAGCGTTGCAGAGATTTGTAACATGGCGGCTAGAAAGGACGATGCATATTCTGGTTTTATAGCAAATCCTAAAACAAAAAAGCGTCCAGGAGCGAAGAGTTACTTATACTGTAACAAAATACGTTAAATGTTGTAAGTATATGAGTTGTTGATGATGATATATATGTTGTGAGTAATTACCGAATCCAAGAATATTATAAATAATACTCCGTAAATAATAGCTTAACTGAGCAACATGCCACTTCATGAATTATAAATTGTAGCGTTACATTGTATGTATATTAATTAATCAGTATTTGGCAAATACTATATGAAGAAATTTGAATACTCTCATATACATCTAAAACAATGCTCTAAAAGGCGTTGGTCGATATTCGGGCGCCAATCTAGTAAAGTATCTTGTTTCCGGCAAATTCCCTCCACACTTCTCAAAATATCAAAAAGAGAACCTCCGGATGGATTCAAGAGACTATGTATGTGATGACCCATATTTGAGGAAGCATTGTAAGGATCAAATCATCGGAAACTGCATCTCTGAATATGAGATAGCCCAAATCGTAGAGTTTTTCACTCTTATGCTTGTGGAGGATACTTTGGTCCATAACGGACAACGATGAAGGTACTTGAAAGCGGCTTTTCGTGGCCGAGTTTATTTTGTCAATCTTGTGACAATTGCCAAAGAACAGAAACATATCAGGGAGAAAAGTAATGCCCCGAAATCCTATGCTTTTCTATGAGATATTTGATGCATGAGGGATTGACTTCATGGGACCATTCACAAATTCTTAAGGGAACATTTACATTCTTTTAGTAGTGGATTATGTCTCCAAATGGGTTGAATCCAAAGTCACTGAAACTAATGGTGCCAAGGTGGTTGCTAGTTTTCTGGAATCACACATATTTTCTAGCTTCGGGATCCCCCGAGTTTTTATAAGCGGTAGAGGCACACATTTTTTCAATATACTTGTGGGGGCTTTGCTAAAAAAATATGGTGTGACTCATCAATTCTCCACAGCATACCACCCTCAAACAAATGGCCAAGCGGAAATATCCAATCGGGAATGACATTCCATACTCCAGAAGATAGTGAACCCAAACAGGAAGGACTGGAGTATACTCATTGATGATGCATTATGGGCATACAGAACGTTACAGCCTATAAAATTGACGAGCACTTTGTCACGGTGCGTCAAAATAAATTCAATACTAAACACTTATACGTAGTATAGCGTAGTAGAGTTCGTATCCACAAGGAAAGGAATGATTTTCTTTTTATGAAACTAATAATTAAAAGGGGGGTTTTGGTTTTGAGTGATTTAATTCAATTAAGAAACTAAGATGAACAACCTATATGTGTTTAATTCAAAGATAAAAAGGTCTTGGCATTGCTACTTTCCACTTGTTGATATATTTTAGTCGATCATTGTTATATCTATAACTTATTCCCTCTCGAATACTCAATCGGGGAGTATATCCACTTCATCGAGGGTAGTTATTAACAACGACCGTTCATTAATAACCCTTACTATTAATCAAATATAGAACAACGCCTTATACCGATTTAATAGTAGCATTTAATCTTTCTAACTCTTTGATGAAATCAATTGAGATTGATAACCTCAACACAAGCGGTTTCGGTTTAACCAACAAAATTAATCCCTCTTAAGTTTATTAACCACGACCGTGCATTAATAAACCGAAGTTACTTACTTGTGAAACCATCAACGATTAACCATCGGTTCGTTGATCGTTTCTAGTAATAATTAATATATGAAACAAAACTAGTTGATCCTTTAAGTAATGTTCAAAATATTAATATGAAATAAGAGTAGGGATTAATTAATATTCAAGGAAGAATATTATTAATGAAGATGAATCCTACTATAATTAATATCAAGATGTTAACTAATTGTCATCTTAGCAACACTCCTCAATATTAATATAGAGGAAGAAAATACCATTCTAACTAATGTCGAGATGTTAACTAATTGTCATCTTAGCAACACTCCCCAACATTAATATAGAGATGATATTAAGGAAAGAACTATTAATTAATATTCAAGGAAAGAAGTTAAGAAAATAACTCACAACTTTAATAATCAACAAGCTTCAAGAGCAACACCAAGAATGGAAGTTTAGCTCCTCACTTGGAGACTAAACATAGCTAGAAAAATATAAAGAAATTCTATTCTAAACTGAGCTAAAGAGTATGGAAGAAAGGATGATTTTTAGAGAAGAAAAAGTGTGCTATTTATAGGTGTTTTTCAACACCTTTGGCCAGGTACCCGACCGGGTCAAGTACTCACCCGACCGGGTCCGGTCAAAATCAGATAATCCGCCACGTTATGGTGATCTTCGCACGTCGTTTTGTCCCGGGTCACATCTGACCCGACCGGGTCCAGTGACTTTCTTGGCAATTTCGTCTGTTAAATCATACCCGACCGGGTGGGGGTTTCTACCCGGTCGGGTTTCACTCCTGGGCAGTCAAATTTCTTGTTTTCTTCTCTTCAAAGTCTTCCTTTCCAACACCACAGATCCTAACTATACTTTACAACTTATAAATGAGAATTAAAATACGATTACAACTAAAATCACACAAATGTTTACAAACTAAATAAAACGGTAAATAATACACACAAATCAATCATAAAAATATACATTTATGCACTACTAATTAGTGCATATCAAATACCCCCACACTTAAACCTTTACTCGTCTCGAGTAAATCAAATCCGGTCCAAAAAGTCCTTAAAATGACAAGAATATCAACACACACATCCACGAGTGTTTTTAGAAGCACATAAAGAATATCCCCAAAAATATAACAGTAAAGAGAGTCTTCAACTCCATATTTCTTTATCAACCTCAACCTTTTTTTCCCGTTACCCTTAGGATCCTGCAGAAATAAAAGAAAATACTTTCTCTCGTTCTCTCATTTTGCCTAGGTGCCCTTTCGGGTTTTCATCCCAGCTTCCCACATTTTTCTGTTTTAATCCTCACAACTCACTCTCATTTTTGCTTTATTTTTGCTTAAGTTGCCCTTTCAGGTTTTCAACTTAACAAGCTTTTTTAATATATTTTTTTTACAAGAATAAAGAGTATGAATGTGAGTATTCCATAAAACTCTCCCTCCAAGCTAATCAAAGCACTGTCCCTAGTGCTTGTGTCTGAGATGATTTTTTTTTCTTTTTTTGGTTACTTTTTGGGAGGTTTTGTTGGTGATTCGTGGGTGTGGAGATGAAAAGGGTGAAGAGGTGATGAATGAAATGGGTTTAATTGGTGGTTGGATGTAGGAGATATGAAGCTTTTGACTTTTGGAAATGGAGGAAATTTGGGGTGTGGTTCGAAAGGGAAGATAAAGGGGGTGATTTTTTTTATATGAGAAATGGCCTGGTTTCCAAAAAATCGAGATACCCGGCCGGGTGGGGTAGTGTACCCGGTCGGGCGTAAACTGTTCACCCGAGGCAGAAAGCTTTTGCTGGGTTGCCCGGCCGGGTATGGGGGTCCACCCGGTCGAGTGTTTGGTTTATCATTGTTCCGCTCTTGCCTCGCCCGGGTGGTTGGCCGGGTGTTTTGTTTTTAGAGGTAACCCGACCGGGTGGGGTTTTATACCCGGCCGGGTTCAATCCCAGGTCAATTTTTTTTTTTTGAAAAGTGTAAAAATAAAATAAAACAAGTAAACGTACCTTGCTTGGGTTGCCTCCCAAGAAGCGCCTTAGTTAACGTCGCGGCACGACGCCATCATTGTGTTCAGTCGTTCAAACTGGGATCATGATAGTTTATCTTCGCCACATTTTCACTCCTAGGACTTCCATAGGAATGCTTGATTTTCTGACCCTTTATTTTGACCTTTCCGAGATCAAATATCCAGATTTCTATCGCTTCATATTGTGAGAGTGTTGGTCCATGATTTTCATTAAGCATGGTCAATGGAAGGGGGTTTGATCCGGGTGGTATAAGAGGGAGTATGAAATATTTGTGTAATCCCACCGTTATTCCTTGCTTATTTGTGAACAAAGAGAAGTCTAAATTATACTCACAATTGCTGAAGATTTCATAGATATCTTTGTCCTTCTCCACCCTTTGTGTTTCCCTTAGAGCCTCAGGAAATGGTGGCATGATCTCAGGAATGGCCGGTGGTTGAGTTGAGTTTTGAAGTTCCTCCTCCGGTTGAGCTTTCTCCGTAAGCTCCTCTTCTTCCTCCTCCTCGCCCATGTTGTTCACAATGCTTGGCATTTGTTTCAACTGATTGTCCATGTTCTGTTCGTTTGACACTGCTTCTTGCGAGCATTGTGACATATTTTGTTGCATATTTGTCACATTGATAGTGAGAGCTCGGATCATGTCTTCAGTGGACATGCTGGAATAAGAACATGAGTATGAGCTATATGTGTTGGAGAATGAATCATACCTCTCTTGGAAACCAACACCATTCCTTTGTTCAAAGAATTCTTCTCGAAGCTCTAGGCAAAAATCCGTAAGATGCCTTTGTGACATGCAAATGTTGCATGTATGTATATCTTGAGATTTTGAACATGAGATAAACTCCTTTATTAGAGAAGTCAAGTCGGAAATTTGACTCTCTAGGGATGATGTGTTGGTATCCATTTACTCATGTAAGCTCAGAAAATAGAAAAGTAAGATTTTTCTTTATAATTTTTTTTTAATTTTTTTTTTGAGATAAAATAAAAAGAAAAATAATTGCCTTTCCCCGGCAACGGCGCCAAATTTGACGAGCACTTTGTCACGGTGCGTCAAAATAAATTCAATACTAAACACTTATACGTAGTATAGCGTAGTAGAGTTCGTATCCACAGGGAAAGGAATGATTTTCTTTTTATGAAACTAATAATTAAAAGGGGGGTTTTGGTTTTGAGTGATTTAATTCAATTAAGAAACTAAGATGAACAACCTATATGTGTTTAATTCAAAGATAAAAAGGTCTTGGCATTGCTACTTTCCACTTGTTGATATATTTTAGTCGATCATTGTTATATCTATAACTTATTCCCTCTCGAATACTCAATCGGGGAGTATATCCACTTCATCGAGGGTAGTTATTAACAACGACCGTTCATTAATAACCCTTACTATCAATCAAATATAGAACAACGCCTTATACCGATTTAATAGTAGCATTTAATCTTTCTAACTCCTTGATGAAATCAATTGAGATTGATAACCTCAACACAAGCGGTTTCGGTTTAACCAACAAAATTAATCCCTCTTAAGTTTATTAACCACGACCGTGCATTAATAAACCGAAGTTACTTACTTGTGAAACCATCAACGATTAACCATCGGTTCGTTGATCGTTTCTAGTAA